AGAAAATAGAAAGTTCGATCTATTTTATTTTGTTGTGTTCTACTTACTTGTATTTTCTTTTATCTCTTATTTTTCTGTCTTCAGAATCAACTATCGAGTGTCCCATTTGACTGATGATGTCTTCTGAATAAAGACGAAACGTCTCTAACAGAAAATAGCGATATTTTTCATTATGATAAAGGTGGTTAATATCTTATTATCTATATAGATAGTACTCATACCAAGACAGCTCTGGTAAAAATTTAAGCTCATTAGCATTTGATTTGATTAATTATAGCGTAAGCAAAATTTTCAAGTGGAAAATCGCTTTTTTCCGTATTTTACGATCTTTTCTGCAAGCGCTCTAGTGTCGAGGGAAAGCACTTTGGATAAAAATCTCAAGAGACAAAAATGTTCAGGACACATTTCTCTATCTGCTCTGAAAATTCGACAAACATTTGTTAAAGTTCATAGAGCACGCTATGCTGAAAAAGTATGTTTCTATCACGCACTGCCTCTTAATCAAAAATAGATAAAGAAATGGATACTTATACAATTATGTTTTTCAAACAATGAAAGGAAATGGTAAGAGGGACTTTCAAACTCACCCTTTTTTTTGAGACTAACTATGTTCATTTAATTCTGTAGCATGTAATTTCTTTCAAAAAAATAATCATATGCCTCGTTAATCGCCTGTCACCTCCATTTCTAATGGAAATTTATATTTTTTTCTTTCATCGCTATGAAATGAAAGGGTCGTTTTATTTATATTAAAAAGTTCTAATGTCGGTAAACTCGACAACGGCTGTTGATTATGTAAGTCTTACAAACGATTTCAACATATCGGTGAGCATTATCTATCTGGTATGTGGCACTATCGGCGGACTATTGAATATTTTCGTTTTTACACAAAAAACTATGCGTACAAATTCTTGTCTCATTTATTTTATTGGGTCGGCTGCTGCTGATCTCGGTGTAATGCTTGTAACAGTGACTGTACGGATGTTAGCCGGTTTCAATCTTGATTGGACAAGACCATATCCCATCATCTGTAAATTACGTATATATTCAATGTACATTTGTTTTTCCTCATCATCGTGGTTTACATTGGCTGCGTGTGCTGATCGGTACCTTTCAACGTGTCGTACAGTTCAAAAACGATCACTGAGTAGTTTAAGAAACTCGCGACGTGCAATTCCTATAATAATTTGCTGTTCATTCGTTATTTGGATCGAAATATTAGTGTGTTATAATACTTTGCCCAAAACGGCAATATCATGTTATACAAAAAATAACGAGTGTACAATAATAAATAATGTGTTTGCTCTCATCTTTTGCAGTTTGACGCCATCATGCTTAATGGTTTTATTCGGTTTGCTAACACTGCGTAATATGCGCTCCCTTCACGGACAAAATCAAGTTGTGCCGATGATAACACCAACTGTCGCTGGAACCACAACAGGAAAATCAGTAAAAAGACATGGTCAACAACTTGTCAAACTTGTATTCCTTCAAGTAGTGGCACATACGTTTTCATCTACACCAACACCGTTTTTCAATCTATACTCAGTTGTTACGTCATCTTACGTCAAATCACGAGACCGTTTAGGTTTGGAAAACTTTTTGTTAGAACTAGTTATACTACTGCAGTATTTTGAACATGCATTTTCGTTCTACCTCAATATGCTTGCCAGCAAAATGTTTCGTCAAGAACTAAAGAAGTTGTGGCTGGTAGTTTTTCCTCGCAAAACTAAGGTGGTTGCGTCAGTGGTAACTTAAAAACTAATGAACTTTAACGAATGACGCAGTAGTTATATCATACGCACAAACGCAAACTGTGTGTGTTTGAAACAAATAGCCATTGTATCTTTTATTTTTAAAAATCACAAATTATGAAGTTTCATGTAACATTCTTTGATTGTCTCAATAGATTTGGTAGTCGTAGTCTCAATGATAGCAAAAGAGTCCTATTGCCGATAATCGCTTTTATTCTTGTTAGAATACCATATTTTGGCAGAGACACCAGAAGAATCCGCAAGGCAGTTTGAATTTAGTTGTAGTGGAGTAAAAAATGGTTTTTATTCACTGACAGCATTGCATAAGTTGTGTGTATCTGATGAAACAACTTTTGTTTCGTCTGGCAGCTGTTTTCCACCGTTTGAAGGCTGAAGACAGAGAAAAAGAATCTCTATACCGAATGTTTTTCTTATTCATAAACGATTAGTCTTCCAAAGACGGCATACGGTATATATAGTGACACTCAAAACTGTTTATGCACTTTTATTTTGACTTTTTCTGCTCGACTGCGATAATTGAAACGAATTTGATAAGTGTTAGTGTAGGCGAAATACTTAACCTATCAGAAGAGATTTTAATTTTAAATAGATTTATTCAGCCAAAATTGTTGAAAACCTGGATCTCTAAAAAGCTAAAACCTTAGAAAACCAAGTACAATGAATTGATCTGAACATTCCCCAAGTATTCAGTATACCACTAACTATGAATATTCATAGGAAACATTAGAAAAAAGTACACAGAAAACTGACAAATCTCTCACAAGGAGAATTTCATGCAAGTGACGTATAAGAATCACTAATAATAAGTAGTACTATTGTATTGTTTTGTTCCTGATATATATATATATTCTGGTCAAACTTGAAATTCAGTCAAAATTAAAATTTACCTGGGTAAAACTGAAATTTCAATTGTGACCGGGCAGACTTCAAATTTTAGTTTTGACCAGGAATTCTTCGGTCAAAACTAAAATTTGAACTTTGACCGGCCAAACTTAAAATTTTAGTTTTAACCAGAAGAAAGTTTTTGGACAAACTTAAAATCCGGTCAAATTTAAAGTTTAGCTAGTCAAACTTGAAATTGAAGTATCTTCTTTTCACATTACAACAATGTAGATGAGGCTCACGAAATGTTTTTAACTATCAGTGCCAGCTCACTGCTATGGATGTGTCGTTCAATCCGTTCCTTCGGGCGAGGTCCCACAGACTTTGGATTCTAGCATGAATGATAGCGAACCGGTACTAAAAATGTGATTTTTCATGATAAAACCATGCTCTTAGTTTCTACAGTCTCAGAAAATGAGATATATAACTATGTACAGTTTGATTGATAATATCTCATTTGCTGAGACAGAATACTTATTCATGTCACCACGTAAAGGTGGCATGGTTGTCGAGGTGGTCTGGTGTTTTGTTTTTGGCGGGCTCATTCAGAAATAAAGTGAATTTTGTTTTTAATAAAAAGAATAAACTTTAAACTGGGGTGGCCCAGAAGTCCTGACCCGATTTGAATAAAAAAATTTTCTATAGTGAAACAGGTGATAGTAAATTTGTCTCTATGAAGAAGGACTCCGTACCTAAACTTTAATATCAGAACTTCAATCAAGAAAACTAAGCAAATTATACACGAGGCGAAAAAAATAAAAACTTTGTAAATTTGGTTTGTTTTACTTAACCTTCTTCTTCTCCTATTATTTCCATAAAAAAAGCGAAGCAAAAACGACAACACAATTTGTGTTGGGTACTTTCAAATGTGCTTTTTCTTGTGGTTTGTAAAAAGACTTTTTAGAGCAGGTGGTGTGCTCTAGAATCAAGTTTCAAAAATCGACAACCCCGTTTCCAACAGTGTACCCGGCAAGAAACGGAAAACGTGATCGAAGAACCATATGGACCGGGTTCACGGTTGATTTTTCTTTTTTGTGAAACACATTTCTAAGCCTATAACTTTCTTACTAGATGAGCTAACAGGGTCAATCTTGTAGAGCCTTTTTTTCTGCATCGTTTCTTCATAGAGACAAAACAACCACTTGTTTCACTATAGAAAAATTTATTATTCAAATCGGATCAGGACTTCTGGGCCACCCTTTACTTTCAGTACAGTTACCGTTCATTTGAACCTAAATCACTTTGAAAATCAAAACCATATTATGCATAAAGAACCTTATTACATCAAAATCAAAACAAAATCAATAATTTTCTCTACCTGTGACTAGGTTGGTTTACTTTTTCAAAACTTTCCTAAAATATTTATGTACAATTCTTCTATACTGACAACACAAATCTACTATTTACAAACTGGCCGCCAAATTTTCCATATTCTGACATGAACCTTTTTTTGAATGACATTTGGTGGAGCAGGCAACTGCTGCTTTTCTACATGGGACATTTTTTCACACTTTGTTTTACAATCAAAAGTACTTACGCTAACGGAGCCATAAACAAAAAGCTTACAGGCTTCGATAAAAGTAATATTTTCTAAATCTTCAACATCTATTTCCTTTAAAAGTTTCGGTCAAGCAGATTTCAGGTCAACAACTTCACCAACTGAGAATGTGTTCGTTAGTACGCCATATTGACATGCTAATCGAAAGGTTACAGAATTATTTTTGGATATTTTTTCAATAATCAAACATGGTAAAAGCTTAGCGTCTGTATTAGTACGATCTGTTCTAGTATTTTAACACCAACGCAATCATTTAAATTAAATTTATGACTCAAATTGTCAAGATAATTATCATCTGCTTTCATCTTTTTATTTGCTGTTTTTAAATAGTTATCTGTAGCTCTTTTACGTATAAGGTCATGACGTGATACGGAAGAAAGAGATGTTGAAGAAGCAGCAGAATTTGCTGCTGTTGTTAAAGGTAACGTTATTGAATTAGAAGGAAAATGTTCAGATGACGGTGAAAGCTGATCAAGAGAAGAAGGATTTGCTTTAGAAATGGAAGTAAGAGTTCCATCTCTTAATGTTATTGCTGCTTGTGTAGCAGGGTCAGAAGAGACAGAATTCGAACTATTTCCTTTTATAATTTAGTCTATTTCATCTACAAAACCGAGTAGATTTGTATTTGTATTTGAATCAACAATTTTTTTGTGAAGAATCAAAAGATATAAGATTATCTACAAAATAATTCTCTGTAACAGCTATATCATTTGTTGGTCCTGATGAGGGTAGATCGAATAACGAATTAGACGAAGCCTCCTCTGCTAACTTTTCAACAATTACGCTCATATCACCATCAACAACATCAATAGAGTTCCGATATCATCATCCAAATTAACAACCGGGCTTGGTAAATCTTCTTCATCTAGAACTCCATTTTGACTAACAGGCTTCCAAAATCCTGAATCAGAACGGGGCGATTGGCCAAACATCACTTCATATGGTGTTGATTTTGTTGTACTAGAAACTCTAGTATTGATTCCATAAACAACGGGCAACAAACCATCAGACCAATGACTAGAATCATTTTCCAACATCCATTTTCCAAGCGCATCACACAAACTCCATTCGCCCTTTCAACGTAACATTGACTATGAAGATGACGGGGACACCCGCGAACAAAACATAAATTTGGAAACAAACTTTTTAACTCTGTTATAACACCTGCGACGAATTCTTTTCCATTATCACTATGAAGTATTCGCGGCGGATCAAAAAGAAAAAACAGTTCTCGCAATTTTCACGAAACATCGACAACTGACTTATTTTTTAACGAAAACGCCCATGAATATTTTCCTTTCAAAAAAATCTCGACAGCAAATCGTGAAATCCAAGAATAATGAGAATTTATTTCGAAAATAGTCTTATTGCGACTTCCGTGAGCAACATTTACATGACTTTCTTTTATCACATTGTAGAACGCTTCAAATACACATATCGTTTTTTTTGTTTTTGGCACAACATGCAATATCTATACCAGTTAATTTCAATACGATGAAATTTTTTCTAACCCAAAAAAGAAACTGTGAGGGGAATAAATTTGATGACTTACCCTTTTCCAATACCATCAAATGTACTCTGTTTAATAACGCTTTTTTCTCGATATTTCTCTAGTAAAGAGTCAATGTGCTAGTAGCAGTTAGGTAATTCAAAATCGAAAGGGTCTTATGGTGGTCTATGGGTGTGTTTCTTTGAAACACACTGAAATGGAAGCTAACATATTCACTGAATTTTGATGTCCAAACAAGTCAGCTGATTTTTAAACATTAGACTCAGTGATAATTAGCTATTGATATCATTCACATAATCTACAGAAGGAAAGTTGAGTTAAATTAAACGATGCGCACGCAACTAAACACCAGGGATAATCACCCTTGTAGTTATCATGCTGTGGAAATTGTCGGGTAGATTTGAAATTCCCGTCAAAACCTATATCGAATGCTGTATACTGCACCTTTGTGGAGCATTAGAAAACGAGACCTGTTTTGTTAAGTACGAGGTGAAATGATCTGTTGCACCGACTGCTCACCATTCATGGTCGTTCTCCTTTCCCTTAATCTCATCGCTGTCATTCACCACGCTCGATCTCCTCTTGCCTTTTAATGTAATGTACTCCGATGTGTGAATGCGCGATGACTGCAACAGCTGGCGACATATGTATATAACATGACTGTAAGGTCTTGCATAATTTTTTCATAGAGCCGATTTCTGTGTAGTGGCATAGTTAATGCTATCGTCTATCTGCGCCAAAATCTGGTCAATTTATTCAGCAGAACAGTCAGCAGAATCATATTTGTACGGCTCAATCTTTTTGCAATAGCGGTGTGAACCGGAGGAGAGTGACGGTGTGCCCATGGACTGGGGGCTGTGGGCACCATCTTGCTTATCAATTGATCAGAAATAACAGATAAGATAAAATTTTATTTACAAAAACGACAACGTATGCGAATGTGCAGAAATGAAACGTGTTCATGATTATTATTGTAATATGTATCGAGATTTCGTTTTTTTGCTAAGCTATGAGAAAGTTTCTCCAAGACGAACCACTAGACTTCATCTATCATTGAGGTGTATGGGTAGATCATTGAAGAATCTTCGTCTGCTCTCATTCTTCGTGTAATATGAGGATTTAAATAAGAGGAGTTTAAATTATATGATAACTCTGATGGTTGCAGTGCCTAAATACTAAAATGTTTCTATTAATAACATTTCTTTTACTAAGCAATTTTTTAATTAATCTGATTATATTCGGTTCATAACATTTTTTCTATAAATTAAAATGAACAAACGAACATTATCTAAAATTCTTAAAGGCCGTAACAGATGATTTGGCAGTGCTTCGCGGAATGCCGTAGATATGTCACATTTTTGCTTCGTGTTGAAACGCTAAACTAGATGAGAAGAAATATTTTAACGGAAAGCCTCACGATGTTTTTTTTGAATTTTTTGAACATAACAACATTTCCAGCATTTTGGTTACTACGGCATAAATTCACATCAGTCTTTTCCAGCAACGTCTCATTTAAAAGAGCGCAGAAAACTGAATACAGGAATTATGTTCGTAGAGTTTAGAACTTAATATGGGAAAAATTGAGTTTGAAAAGTTTTCAATTTTTACAAAATCAGTTTTTGTATAAACTCCAAATAAAACGTAGTAGAGTATAGGGTGGAAACCTTTAATACTATGTGTTTTGTAACCCTACCAATTCTGCACATAATGAGGTAAAAGCGTCTTTTTCGTTTTGCCACTACACCGAATACTTTTTAGTTTTTCAGCACCATTAGAAAACCCCTTTTCAGTACTGAATATCCCTCTAAAAACTGCATTACAGTATATAAATAAATCAAAGAAGGTTTTTGACCGTCGTAAAGAAAATGGCTGTTTAGACTGCTTTTACGTCTAAAAAATCAAAAATTGTTCGGTATAGTTACAAAATGAATATCCGTTCAAATAATAGTTACAAAATGAAAAACCTATTAAATGGTTTTTTAAACGGTTTTCTAGGCGACGAGAAACAAGTTTCTTCGTCATTCCGGTGTATCGCTAGAAATAACTAAACCCTTTTTCGTTTTTTTCAGACAATTGAAACACCCTTTGAATTTTTAGACTTTTTTACAGGGAGATTGTTTGTACACACTTTACGATACAAGACCTATGGATATTTCCACAGCGAGAAACAAAACTTTGAATATCAAGCACTTCAACCAACCAAAACAGAAAAATTAAAAGTTTTTATTGGGTTTTGATGCTAATAAAAAATCTATTCTCGAAATTCGTTTTGGAAAACGTTGCCGGTTTTTAAATAATACTAAAAAGACGAAAGCGTTTTTGTTCATAATAAAAAAAGCATGATGATTTTATAGGAAGTGCATTTTTTGGTGAAAAAACAACTGATCTAGTGTATTCATCTTAAAAGACAGCTGCAATTTTCGTTGCTCTTCTATGTCAGTGTACACTATTTCCAATACCATCTTTCGGCTAATGCAAAGGAGTTTCACCATTTTAGCCCCACAAAGGGCTGTTATAACAAGGCTTTTTATCGGATTCCAAAAACTGTTGAAAGTTTTTTAATCTACGACGTTTTTTAGAGTGTGAGTTACCGAAGCACAGTCTAATCGCATTAATCCTCCGTTTTATACGATCGATCTATAACGGAAGCATGTTTAAACACTAAGACCGCAGTTCACGTCTACCCTTCTTATTACAGATTAGAAGTACTAGAAAGTGATCATTTATTGCTTTTTGAGGCATAATATGATGATATTATTGAATGGTTGGCAGACAATAATGCCACTTTATATTTATTTGTCAAAACTTTATATTCTAGGATTATATCAAATACGAACTGGAAGAGTGTTGAAAAAATTATTCTGTTAAATAAAGCTGCTCGCGGAAATGATTCTTGTAATTAAAATACATTATTCCATTATTCTCTCCAAACATCAAAAAGTGGACATGGTTGTGGTAACATAACAGACATGGTAACATAACCATAATCAATAAACGGATTTACTTCTAAACGATTATTTTAGCATTTTTCTCATAAGTCAAAGGGAATTCCTAAAAAGTTCAACTTCTGAGAAAGAGTTCTGAATGCCGCAGTTACGTATAACCATGTGTTTAATAATGTGTTTAATAATGTTTTTTCAAAGACTAACTACGACAATTGAAGTTAGAGTTAGCTAGAAAATTGTTAAAGATAAAGTACTTTGGAATAAATTTTAAATTTAGTAAAAAACCAAGATTCTGCTTTCATTGATCATCCCATTTCTCCCATTTACACCAGCCACAAGTAGTGCAATAATTGAACACCGCCCCATAGCCATCGCCGTTCATTCTGCCTCCTTCGGTAAAATATTCAGTTTCAAATTTCACCCCATTACATCTCGGGCAAGGCGGAAATGCTGGGATATTGTTGTGCGGTGGCTTATTTGCTGGACTATCGACCCACATAGGATCATATGGACGAACAGGAGATGGAAACTTTTGGACCATGGTTGCTCTGGCATTATTACTATCATTCTTAAGCCAGTTATTTTCCAATTGCTGACATTTGTCTTTTACTTCTTTACATTGGGCGGGATACTTGGAATTGGTCCCCATTCTAATTATCTATGATGTATAAGACAAGCACAGTAGTAATTGCTATGAGCTAAGTTCTTCCCTATTACACTTAGAATTCAATCAGTAGAGAAAAGACAGAAAGAGAACTAATTATGCATTATTTTGTACCATGGCAATAAAAGCCTTAAATGGCACAAGTAAACCCCAGATAAATGCTTGTAAAAGAGTTATAAATGTAGCTAAAGTATTTTAAAATTTGTTTCGCATTCTTTTTAAAGAGGGATAACCTAGAGTAAAATATCAGAGGTGCTCAAGTACAGCTTTTCTTCTTTTATTACAAACGAACTCCATAGGCCTGGTGGACTTTATACTTGCTATGGAAGTAGAGTTTGCCTTAGTAGACCACGTGATGAAAATTTCTTTTTTATTAAAATCTGCTTCTGATCTGAGTAGTCTGTAGAGCATGTCTAGATAGCTACATGAAAAAAGTTTATATAAAAACCTTTTGTGCTCTATCGAACCATTTTCTTAGTTTTTTAACCGAAAAAGGAAACTTAAAAAATTTATAGCGCGGTTAAGTGTAGTCCGATAGAGTTCAAACTTTTTTCTTATTCATTTCGGGCTTATTCATCTGTCGAATAAACTGTATCAGTTAGTCAACGAGTGTTGATAACAACTCAAGTAAGTTTGGTAATTTTTGAACTAATACATTTTCAACTGTATTTGAATGAATTAATACATAACGAAAATCATATTACTTATCGATAAACGCGCAACGAAAAGAAAAAATGAAACAGAAAGAAAAGCTATTCCTTGAGCTAATAGATGAATAAGTCTTTTCCACTCATCCGCTATTACGATCGTAATTAGCACCTTGGCAATAAAAACACCAGATGGCACAAGTAAGCCCCAGGTAAATGCTTTTAAAAGAGTTATAAAAGCAGCTAAAGTATTTTAAAAAATGTTTTCGCATTCTTTTTAAAGGAGGCCTATGAAATAATAATTTTAATAAAAAAGTCCTTTTATGTTATAAAACTGCTGGCACAGAACGTGAAAAGTTAGCTGAAAATTTTCAAGGCTTCTTCAGTCAAAACTTACTACCGAAGGTACGTATCAAACTTTGTTAACGATTTTCTAGATGATGATGATACGTTCTGCGAAAGGAACTTTAAATAGACATGTGCAATTATCTTTCTTTCGTAAATAAAGTAACGGATATCGTTACCCATTACCGAGTAATAATAACCTAGAGTAAAATATCAGAGGTACTGAGGTACAGCTTTTCTTTTTTTATTACGAACAAATTCCATAGGACTGATGGACTCTATACTTGCTATGGAAGTAGACCACGTAATGAAGCTCACAAGTGTTCTCTCACGCACTTGTGCGAGTGCTGGCACGTGGAGTTCAAGTTCAGTGCAAGTACTTAGAGTATTTGTACTTTTCTGTATCTGTACTCCAGCACTCATATTTAAAGTGCTTGTACTTCCACTTGTAATATTCGTCCATCATCCGGTAAAACATCCAGCACTTGAGATGGGTTCAAAAAATCAAATATCGGTAAGTTTATTAGTAGTGCAGTAATGGCATTAGGAGTAGGACTGTCTGTTTACTTATTACTCGCTGTTACTTTATCAAGTAAAGTAACAAAAATTTGTTACTAGTAATTAGTAACAACAGATACTAATTTGTTACTTTGTTACTAACTCCCCTCTCCCTCATAATAGAAGACCGCTTGGTCTTCGATTTTGTCCCGTAAGTCAAGATCTAAAGGGTGGTCTTCTATTGCGGTCAAATTTTGTCGCCTTCTAGTAGTCCAACGTTAACGCCCACGTACTTGAAGTCCATCCCCTATTAGAAGTACGTTTTGACAAAATGTTTTTGAAAATTCCTCTATAGGACATTTTCCGATTTTTAGTAACAAGTAACGCAGTTGTTACTTGTTGCTAGTAACAAAAACCAAGTCTTTTTTTCGTTTGCTCATAAAAACGTTTTTGAAAAAGGATTTGTGACGGTGCGGATGAAATAATTGAATTTCATTAAATCTCTTATAAGTTATGACGCTTCCCTTAGCAGTGATGTATAGCTGATAAATATTTCAGATACTTCTTTATCAGACGTTCCACCACCTTTTGGCAAGTATTTCGCCCTCACCCGTACCCTCACAAAATCTTACTTAAGGAGTCGACTGGTAAAAATATCCGCTACAAGATTGTCCCTTGATACTTTAAGTAACAAAGTAACAAATCTTTGTTACTTTGTTACTAGCAACAAGTAAAAACTGCGTTACTTGTTACTAGTAACAAAGTAACAAACTAGCATCTGTTGTTACTAATTACTAGTAACAAGTACCAAAAATTGTAGTAAAGTAACAGTAAACAGACAGCCTTAATTAGGACCATGATTTCGAAAAGTACAAGAACTACGAATAATCTACCCAAGCACGAAAACAGCAGCTAGCATGGCTCGATGCATCTAGATTCACTAGATACTGTGATAAATACAGCTAGCTGCATAGGAAAGAGAGAAAAGTTGAATCGAGCATCGCTCAATGCAGCTAGATGTGGACAATGAACTGCTAGATGCATCGACCATAAGACGATGGAGATTTTTAAAGAATAAATAAATAACTGTACATCTAGTAACGGTCGATGCAGCTAGCTTCATTTAATAGATGCACTAGATCCAGCTCGATTAGCTAGAGTTAATAAGCACTCTAAGAACCTTTTTCTACTCCGCACAGAACAGTTTTGTCTTTTATTCTGTTTTGTTTTTCCCAAAGCAGCACTCCAATCTTTTCGTTGTTTGAACTTTATTTCCTTTATAGTTGCATCATGATATGGCAGGTATCGATTAAGTAGATCAATG